ATCCAAAGGTGAGGAATGGAATGCAGATGGACCAGTGAAAGGTAGAGTGAGTCCCTTCTTCACTAGAACATGCCAGATTAATATCCCACTTGCAATGACCTGATTCCTGGGTCCATCTTGCCATTAGTTCTGAACTGCTCACAAAGTTACTCAAACTTATCTGCTTAAGATGGAGGCTGGGCTTTTCACATCACGTGGCTATCGTTGACACCTAATTATAGCCATGTGATGTGAGTATCAGTCACATGGAGGCAGTGCTTAAAAGCCTGAATTTTGCCTGAAACTCTCAGACTGAAGAAGTCTCTTGGAGGAGAGACGAAYCGTTTCATTAGAGAAGAACCCATCCAGAAGACCTATACAATATATACACATATACATATTTATATATTTTTTAACAGGTAAAATCCAGACTACTGAGTTCTTAAAGTAAAATTTCAATTTCAATATGAAAAACCTATCTTTCTTTATTTTGTAGTTGTTGTTGCTCCAATTTGACTTCACTTGATATGATTGCATAAGTTGACAAWTTTTTTTGCACCTCTGAGCAGAGAAGAATCCCTGCCGGTCGTCTTGTAATTTCTGCCTTTTTGTTCTTCCTCCTGTTTATTATTGATGCAGACGGTGGGAGCAGTGGCTGCTATGCCTTTGTCGCCCACTGTGCCATTGATCCATGTTCAGATCCTCCTTTGAGACCAACTTAAAACAACACTGAGATGACTAACCTCTTTTTTAAATTCCTTACATAAACCTTGTTAAATTTTTAGATTTCTTTCTTAAAGAATAAATGCACACTGGCTGTAAAATCTAGTCTGTAGTTAATTTTACAAATAGCTGCTCGTTTTATTATTGCAACAACTAATGAACAACATGGTTTTGTCTTAATTAAATTACATTTTCCTAAGCTAAAGGTTGATGATTTTCAACATCAGTCTTCAAACTGCAATTTAGTCATTTTAATGGTTTTTTACGGAGGTCAGTGATGAAAAAAATAAATAAATAACAGCCGCCGGAAATCCATGCGCAAGGATTACTAAACCGTGTGCCCAGTTTCTGCAGTCCGTGTGCACGGATTGCTAAGATCTGTCAAGAAGTTGGATGCATGGTACGAAGCRGCATCTGCATGGTAAATTCAGCCGATCTGTTGTTATATATAAACTCAAGGCACTGCCGTGTTTTCATCAGTACACTTATTAGCCACAAGATTTCCCTGAAAGTTTCATCAAAATCCGAGGTGGTTATTATTTATTTATTTTCATATTTTCCAGGCAAATGATTCCTGAAATGGTAGTTAGCCTCCTCAGAGGTTAGCCTCCACTGCCCTCCCGCCCCCCTTCTGTTGTCTAGGAAAAATAATAAACATCCGAGAACCGCAGGAGAAGACTTCCAAGCTGTTTACTGCTGAGAAATGTCCRCGTGTGGRGAGCTTCATCTGCGGAATGGTGACCCGATGGGAGTCACGGCCCTGCTCGTACTTTGAAATGTTTCAGACTTTATTCAACTGTTCTCTGTGGTGRAWTAAACATTTTTGAAAGAGTAATAAACATTTCCTAAAAGTTCAACATATATCAGCACTTTTGTGATATAACCCTGAGATGGAAACTGGCTAACTTTAACGAAACCTCCCCGTTGTCAGGAAAACGGAATGCATCCGGTAACCACGGGCAGAAAAGCTTCGAGCGGCTTCCTGCGATGATCTGWGATCAGAGCTGAAACAGCCTTTAGGAGGACCGGTAACATAACTGCATGATAGAGGGGGYAAAACTCTACAACATACTCAAATTTGAACCTTTTCTATGGTGTGCT